AATCTTTGGAATAAAGAGCTTTTAGAAATGTTAAAAACCTATGGGGAAAAAACAAAACAAAAAAATTTGTAGTGAAGTTAAAGTAACAAGTTTCCAGAAAAAATAATACTCAAGTAAAGTACAGATACTCAAATGTGTACTTAAGTACAATACTCAAGTAAATGTACATAGTTGCTGTCCGCCTATGTTGAAAAGGTAATTTATTCCTGTGATGGCAAAGCTGAATTTTTAGCAGCCATTTCTCCAGTCTTCAGTGTCACATGACCCTTCAGAAATCATTCTAATATGCTGATTTGATGCTCAGGAAACTTTTCTGATTATTATCAAAGTTGAAAACAATTGAGCTGCTTAATATTTTTTATTTTTTTATTTGCATTTTTTCAGGATTCTATGATGAATGGAAATTTTTAAAAAGCAGCATTTATTTGAAACAGGTTTTTCTAATATTAATATTTTATTTCAGAATTATTTCAGTTAACCAGTTTTAGTTTATGAATGGAAATGTTAATACTAACCTTTTCAGACTATTACCAGACTCATAACCACAATGTCATTTTTTATTGCATTATATCTATCAATAACATGAAAAAGATTTCCATGCTTAAAGAAACTGAATTGTAAGTAAAATATTAACACTCTTGCTTTGTAAATCCCACAAGAAGCATATTGCGTATTTGTCTAGGAAGGAAACAAGTCTGATTACTCGTCTTTATTAATCTGTCTTGACGTTAAAGCCAGACTTCCTCAGGCATTCTCTTGATCCGAGTCTAAACAGTGAATCACACAACCTTCGAAATCCGATATTTCATTGAAAGGCCTTTTCTTTTCTTTATGTGAAACACTGAAATTGCATGCATGGGGTTCAGTGCACTTTATCACAGGAAACAGTTTGTCCCTTAAAAACTCGGTCTAGGTTGCAGGTAGTGATTCGATGCATGGAAGAAATGGGAAATTTAGAGGCTTTAGTGTGTAATCTGGGGTGCGATTTTCAAACATTTGTCACATCAGCTGATTTGTGGGGCAGTTTGGACCTATTCATCAGGCCCTGCTGTCACTGGGCAATGAATTTATGTTCCTCATCCACATACTCTGTCCCAGACCGCATCAACAGAGGCTCTGCCTGTCAGTCTCACAGCCTTCATGTCTATCACATCTGCTGTTGTTATTGTTTTTTTGTTTTGTTTTTTCAGTCACTGCACTAACTCTATATGATGTACCATTATTAGACAAAAACACAATAATTGCATTAGTTTGATAGCTTAATTTATTCCTCTGGCAAAGCTTTTTTTTTTTTAGCAGTCATTACTTCAGCCTTCACTGTTGTATGGTGCTTCAGAAATCATTCTAATATGCTGATTTGGTTTTTAAGCAATATTTCTCACTATAATCAATGTTGAAAAGAGTTGTGCTGCATAGTATTTTTTTGGAAACTGTAATACTTTTCTTTCTTTCTTTTTCAGGATTCTTTGATGAATTTTATTTATTTTATTTTTTGCAATATTATACATTTATTTTGAAAAAAAAATCATAATGGCCCAAGCTTTTGAACGGTCGTGTATATTTTTATTTATTAGTTGATTATTTATTTGATTATCTTTTAATTTCAGTTATTGTTGCTATGATGTCTTAGCAAACCTTTTGATGTAAGACTCAAAGTAATGATCAAAGTGCATTTTGATCAAAATGGCAATCCAAATTAGGTTGTTAACATCATTCAACAGAATTTAGATTAAATTCTAGTCATACAATAATGGTTTATTGTCAGAATTACACTGTTAGACATTTTAAAGGGTTTTTACAGTAACTTACTGGCAACACTGTTGCCAGTAAGTTACTGTAATTAATATTTACAGTAGCAAACTGTATTTGATTTACAGTTGCAAACTGTACTTTTACAGTAAATTACTGTAAAAATCCTATTCATCAGTATACTACTGTAACTTTTTTTTTTACATGATGCAAAGGGTATTACAGTTACTTACTGTAAAGGGAATTTACAGTATTATACTGGATGATATACAGTATATAACTGTAGAAATTACAGAAATGTCTAACAGTGTACAAAAGATCTTGTTGTGTTCAGTGTTATCGAAAATGAACTCAATAGTACAACAATTTACTTAGTTTAAGGCTTGTGTCAGTAGTCAAATTATTAAAAATGTGTTTGTGATATTATGTACCATATACATATTAATCTATCAATTCTGTACCATAATTCATTTTAAGTTTGAAATTTACAACCTGTTTTTCTGCTCTGGGTCAGTTGGGGCAATAACACTGAACTCTTTCATCGGAGCACAGCACACAAATACTCAATTAACACAGGCTCGTATGATGAACGCCCTAACATCCTAGTTCAAACCATTGGCCCGCTCACAGAGACACAATATTGGATTGCCCCTTTGGCTTTATGAGGCAGGACCTCATTAGCGACCAGTCTAACATGACCTTTATGTTGAAGTGTCTGTGATGCACACTTTTATGGCGGTAGTCTAATCAACAGGGATTAATTGAGAGCAGCTTTGGAAATTACTGCTGTGGTCCAGTGCCGCTGATGGAGATGTCAGCTATTCTAATGAGACCACTGCACTGTCTTCCCCCTCTAACAGAGACCATGCATGGAATGGGATATAATCTACATTGGTTTTTCAATGGCCACCTTCAACACTGGTCACTCTATCCCCAAGTGTTAAGAGGAGAGAGAGCGTATTGATCGTGATAAGGCAGCTGCTTTTGGTCAGGGAGCCACTGCAGAGAATCCAGTGGAAGGTCTGGCCCATTTTGTCACATTAAGCCACTCAGTTTTGTCTATATCAGGGTATGTAAGTGTTGTAATGTGGTGGAGGAAGAAATCAATGATAGTGTGTGTGCAGGTGGTAATTCACTTCTCTTCCTTACATGCACACAGAGAGGAGACCGATCATTTAGTAACATGTAGACTTAAAATAGTTAAGCTAAAAATGACTCTTATCTTCCTCATGTTGTTCTTAAATCCATATGTATTTTCTATGGAACACTCTTGCTAAATGACAGTTTGCAGTGACCAGAAACAACCAAGCTGGGGGGAAAAATGGTTGAGTTAAATAATGAATTTAAGAACTGACTCCATTTCATGAGTAAACGTTAATTCAATTTACCACAGCCAAGAGGAAGACAAATTGGAGTTTTAATTGGATTCAAAAAAGAGAATATAGCAGGATATATATATATATATATA